CCTTCGCGAGCGTTTCTTCTTTACGTCCGGAGAATTAGCCTTGTTCAGGAACGCGTGGGCGTGTGCATGCGCCCCCTGTGTACGTGTACGTGTGCGGAATGGTGACCTGTGACATTTATTTACAGGTCAGCCGATGCACAGGCCTGGCCGGTCTAAGGTTCGCGCGTAAAAATAAAAGTTTGACGTAAGGGTCGGCCGGCTGACTGGAAACTAATTAATTCATGGGCCGACGACGTCGATCGGTACGTCATCGCGCGCGTCATCCTAATTAATGACGGCCGGTGTTTCCGTGTACACGGGCGGCCGCTATAAATACGTCTCCGCCGCGAAAATATCGACTTCCGATTCGAATTAAACGGTTTTCCTTTATCGCGAGGCGAGGCGTTCCTCGGCTGCGCTGCGCGATCGCTCGTTTATTCTATAGCCTGATGGAAAGATTCCATGGGATTCGTTGCGTCGGTTAATTTCGGCGTTTTTCTCATTATGCGTTGGGAGTTTCAGTTCATAGTTCGTAGGAGACAGGAGACAACACGTTGAATGCCGTATGATTTATAGAGCAAAATACGTGGAATGGAAAAATCGGATGTCGAATCGTTTGATTGAATTGCACTGTCGTTAGTGCACGTTTAATTGAATGTCGCGTTGGGTAGCATTATTTAGAATATAGAAATGTTAAAATAATTCAAATCTTAAACAATTACATTTACTACATTCTCTTCTTGCATAGAGGAACAAGTTTCCAATGAAACTTTTACGATTCTAACACATTGCGGTCAAATGTTCAGAAAACTGAATTGCGATGGCAATTTCCACTGAGGTCAACTTGTATCATAGAGAAACTCAGATATCATATTGTTATGTAATATATGTTAAATAGATAATCATATTGTATTACTAATTGTTATTCTAAACTGTTAGAGTTAAATTAAGTGTATCATATCTTTCAGAAAAGTTATAATTTAATCATCGAAAACTTCAATCCAATGTAGATCCGAATGACTAAAAAACAATCGTAACAGACAAGACAACCGATGTGAAATAAAAATGTTTGATAAGGCAACTAAGTTGATAACAGTGTAACGCGAACATTGCAACGCCAAACAATTCATAATTATTCCTACTTTTCTTTGCTGCAAAAGACAAACTCTATGGGAAAACGCTCAAGATTTTCGTGGCGCTTAACGTGTTAACCGCAGGACTGAACGCGCAGAAAATACTGGTACGCTCAGCATTGGAATCGAGAGTTATTCCTGCGGGAGGGGTTGCCGGGGGTTGGAAAGGCGCTCGCCGGTTCATGATCAGCCCCCGATAACGACAGCCTCCCCGAGTCGTATCGAACGACTTGGTCGTCAAGTCGACCGCCGTTCCTGCCGGGGGCAACGCCCTCGCCGGCCCTCTCTCATCCCCATTCAGAAAGGAACGTCGAAGAAAACGGGGGATGATGTCGCTCTCCCGCCTCGGGTTTCGCTGCGCGAAGGGTGGAACTCCTCTCTTTCTAACCTTCTCTACGTTTCTCTGTTCGTTTCACTGTTTCTTTCTTCGTTCCTGTATCGTTTCCTTATTGATCTTCCTCTCTTTGAATCTCCTACTTTTCTATTGATCTTTCTTTTTCTAGTTTTCTTTTAGAATTAGTCGCAGTGTCTTTCCTTATATTTTTATATTTGGTTCGATTTTTCTGTTCCTTGGTCTCTTGATTTTTCGATTCTCTCGATTTCTCAATAGTGTATATAAATGTTGTATGTATATTTTAATATAAATATTTTACACTTTTAATGAGATTGATTAATTGATCTCTCAATGTTTCAATCCTTTAATCTTTCTCTCTCGACTCCTCATTACATCTAAGTATTTCACTAGATTTTAACATAAATACTTTATACCTTCAATAAAACTAATTGATCCCTCGGTCTCTCAATGTTTCAATCCTCTAATCCTCTCTTTCAATCTTCCAACCCCTCGACTCCTCAATATCACATCTAAATATTTCACCACATTTTAACATAAACCTTTTACACCTTCAATAGAACTAATTAATCCCTCGGTCTCTCAATGTACCAATCCTCTAATCCTCTCTTTCAATCACTCAATCCCTCGACTCCTCAATATTACATCCAAATATTTCACCACATTTTAACATCAATATTTTCCACTTTTCTTTCTTCTAACCTTTCTTCCCTCAACTTCTCTCCCTGCTCTCCTATTTTCCCAATCTCTCCCTTTCATTCCCTTCCTCCAACTTCTCTCTAAAACCGAGGAGTGGCGGAACAACCGTGAGCGGTTCAACCGAATTCGATTCACCGTCCGCTCCGACGCAGAGCCACCCCTTGTGTATACACGCGTGTTCCACAGGTGAGTTCGCCCACGCACAGCCACACGTCCGAAGTGCAAAAGCAGAGAGGACGGAGGCCAACAGAGAAATACATTGCGACGGTAACACGGTCAAACTGTCTCGCCAACAACCCTCGTCCACGTTCAGCTGACCAATTAAAAACTACCCCAACGCGCCGGCTGTCGGAAACGCTTCTGGAACAAGCTACGTTACGCAACCACCGTATATAACTGCGAGCCGATATTATTTTCTCGCGTTCGACTATCTTTGTCAACGGCCCGGAAGGAATAGCTGCTGAGCAATTACTCTACTGCGCAGTAGTTTCCACGTACGTTGTAAATAAACTACGTGTATTTCGATATTTTGGGGCGATATATACGGATCGGGAATTTTTGCGTTTTGTTAGTCGTGTTAGGATTGAGAATATTCGTGCGTTTCTAGTAATTGGATTAATCACTTAATAATAAATAAACTTAATAATAAATAAATTAAAATTTCACTCGGAAACTCGTGAAACGCAAAGTTCAACCGATTGTCGACAGCTTCGTTGATTATAATGACTCTAGTCAATGATTCGCCGGAAGGAGAAGAAATCTGTATCGTTCGTAACTGAACATTCTCTCTAAAGGATGAATATTACAGGATAATTCGAAGTAACAAATCATTTCGACTCACCTTCTCTTCACCTGCGGCTGCACCGACTGCTGCGTGGACGTCGGCGATTGATAAGAGACGGTGGCCGGTTTCGTGGTGGTCGTCCCGACGATCGCAGCTTTCTCGGACTTCTTCCTGCGGTCCTCGTTCGAGTAGTAACGACTGTACGGCGGATCGTTCCAGGCGTTGGACTCCTTTTGGCCCAACACGTTCACATCGTCCTCCACTTCGAACCTGTCGGAACGGCACCGAAAAACGACTTTGAGGTAATGGAAACGTGCGATGTCGAGTGAACACAATTGTTCTTATGTTAGTTGCAGCAATAAAGTTATAGCGAAACGTGGTAAAGTTGCAAGATTGTTCTCCTGTAATCGAGGAATAGGTCGATGGGACGCTTACTCGTAGTTCTTGTCATAAGGGGAGAAATCATCGCGGACTGAAGAGGATTTCGAGCGAGTGGGATCTTCTTTCGCTAGCGCTACCTTCAATCCACCCAAACCCGACGAAGGGAGGTTTCCTACGGTAGAGATGGGATACAGATTAGTAGAAATAGTTGTAATTAACGGATAAAGGGGAACAGGCAATTTCAAACAGAAGGATAAACGACTAACATTCTACAGTGAATCGTTATTCTTTAGTTTAATCGATTTGGGAATTAATAAAAAAAATAGATGTACGTTTGGAATCAGAGACTGACAATTTTGAGCGCAACGTCAGATTTTTGATTTTATTAAGAGCTACGATAATTGAAGGGTCTTACTCTTCTCCGTGTTGGACGTGTAAGTCGTTCCGGAATTGGCTTCCGGCTGATGATTCTGCTGATTACCGAACATCAGCACCTCCTGCGCTTTCTTAGCTGTGAAACAAACGCTGTGTATTAAGGGGTGACTGTCGAGCAATTTGTCGAAACAGGATCTGGATTCTTACGTTTTGGTCTTATGATCAGTAAAGGCTTTTTCTCCTCCTGGTCCAGGAATGGCGGTAGAGATTCGGCCAACAAAACGACCGAGCACAGACTTAGCAATCCTACCCACGAGATCATCTGGAAAGCGGCAATGAGGTTTGGGGATTAGTGGGTTGAATAAGGAACTAAGGAACTAAGAAACTAAGAAACTGAGCAACTGAGCAACTGAGCAACTGAGCAACTGAGCAACTGAGTAACTGAGCAACTAAGGGACTAAGGAACTAAGGAACTAAGGAACTAAGGAACTAAGGAACTAAGGAACTAAAGAACTAAAGAACTAAGGAACTAAGGAATTTAGGAGCTAAGGAACTAAAGAACTAAGGAGCTAAGGAACCAAGGAACTAAGGAACTAAGGAACTAAGGAACTAAGAAACTAAGTAACTAAGAAACTATAAAAATAGCAAACTAAAGAACTATGAAACAGAAATTCCCCTGATTTTTCGACACCAGCCAAGACGAAAGAACTTAAAATCGATACCAGCCACTTTCCCAGGCGCATTCGTTTTTTAATCTAGATTGAAAGCGTCGTTAGTATAAAGTGCTCCCGTCGCTGCGCAAGTCGAAGTTTACGTTGAAATGAAGATAGCAGGTCACTACGAAAGACGCTTAAATGTCACATAATGCGAAATGTCAGGAATCTATTTCCATTGCACGTGAAAAATTAACCGGCATACCGTGTCGCGGTTGCTATAAGAGGTTGCAAATCCTCAGGTACCATTCCATCGTAATTCGAACGCCCATCGATACCTGGCAATCGAACGCGCGACCCGGGAAACGCTTCGCCGATCCGAACCGACAGTACACCACATCTTTCGCCATTCTCGATATTCCTACTCGAACAATTTCAAAATTCCTGAATCCATCACGATTATTCGAAGAAAGTACAAAATACGCAAAGAAAATTGCTACCAACGCGACAATCATAAATAAATATTACAATAATCGTACAGAATCATAACAAACATCTACAATCCAAATATAACAGACATAACACCTCTCGCAAACCTATAATTTATAATAAAAATACAATCTCCCACGACGCGAAACTAAACTAACGCGACGCTACCAGAAGACTGCCGAGCAAAATAATTTACTACGGCAACGAATAATCCACAAAATCGTAACAAATATCTACAATCCAAATATAACAGACATAACACCTCTCGCAAACCTATAATTTATAATAAAAATACAATCTCCCACAACGCGAAACTAAACTAACGCGACGCTGCCAGAAGACTGCCGAGCAAAATAATTTATCACGGAAGATCGCGAAGAAGAAGGTCTTCACGATCGTCGCGATTTTACAATTTCCATGTTACACGGTTCGGACGCGTTTTATAAATAGACGCAGTAGAGAGCCCAGCGAGCCGAGTGCCTAATCTAATCGTCGGAATATCGATTCACGGCCGGGATCGAATTAGAGGCGGCGAATTCGCTGCGCCGGAACCAGCGGCACGGGGCAGATGGATGCTGCGGGGGTTCCCTGGTAGCGCCTACTCTTCCCCGATAATCGAATCACGACTCGCTGCACACGCGCGATTAGTTCACGCAATGCGGTCGGTTTCTATCGGTAATTAGGTGTACAATTAACGACGGAACTGCCAGGTGAGTCAGAACGACCCACTCCGGATTTCTTCTTTTACGACTACCGAGAAGATAACAGACGTTTTAACGATACACAAAACGGAATTGGAAATCAATTAACCATTTGCACTACAAGAGATTTCTACCAGAAATACCCAATACACTTTATGATGTAATATAGTCAACATTTCATGAGACATTTAATATTTCACATATTCATGTATCTTACGGAACTTGACGTTACATATTATACTTCATAATTTTGCTGTACCAAATCGAGTGGCGACTGAAAGGCGCCTACGGAGTGCAAAGGGTTAAAATCTGAATTGCACCGTTGGCGTTTCTATAGGAAAATGGTCGGTAGTAGATTGGAAAGCCGCAGGTACTTGTTTCAGAAATTATTACGGAAACTGATTTAGTAAATTGATATATAAGTTAATTGAAATCTGAATAATTACACGCTTGCGGCTCTCGCGAAGCAATTTTCAGAAGTCGGTTTAAGTACTCGGCAGTAGCGTTAACAATGCATTGCGATTTATACGGAGTCCTTCTAAACATTATGATAACAGATTTCTTCGTGTTTGTTATAATATTCAAGTGAAATTATTCAGTCTTTACATCATTCCGGATATTTCAAACTTTCAAGATATCGGTAACGGCGAAATAAGGAAACTGGAGTTCGTCACTGTAATGACTGGGGAAACTCTCAAGAAAAGAAACTTTGTAATGTACATACTACATCATTTATACAACTACTGTTATGCAATAAGTAACTATGTACTCAACGGTTGTTAGTGGCTTCACTGTGAACGCGACCTTAAAATCACCTCAATATAAATTTAATCGTAATGAAATATTCAATAAAAGATTTATTATAAAACATTGTAATGTATATACTATATCATTTATACAACTACTATTATGCAATAAGTAATAACTATTATTATGCAATAAGTAACCGTGTATTTAAGAGTTGTTAATGGCTTCACTGTGAATGCGACTTTAAAATCACCGCAATATAAATTTAATCGCAATGAAAGGTTCGATAAAGGGCGTAACATAAAATATTGTAGTTGTCGCTTCGATGATACCGGTAAATGCGAGACAAGAGCACTGAAAGCGCTCGGTGATCGCCGCTTCCTAATGGCCATTCTATCGCGCCGGAATGTCAGAGTTCAAACGAACGCGCAACGATGCAGCGCTCGCGCGGGAGGCCGATCGAAAGTGCGGAACCTCGTTAGGATTAATTGGTAATACGCGCCGGGATCGCCGGTCTAATTAATGACGGTAACCTGTAGTTTCGAATTGAACGTGGGCGATCTCGGATTCAAGAATGGCCCTGTTTGAATTGATCTATGGCGAAAGTTAAACTGGTATAAAATTACTTGTCTTTGAATAATGGTTGACGATGGATTGGAAACAATTGTAAAAGAAGATAACATTGCACGATTACCTTTGAAAGTTTTGCTTTGAAATATTAATCTATTTCTAATCGATGGATCGAATGGTGCCTTTTTATTAGTAATGATTGATCCGTGGAATAAACGTAGATTCAGCACTGTTGAAGTTCCCATAGAAAAATTTGAGAATTCAGTTCGACTGTTCGGTAGTTCTAGTGTTAAAGAGATAACAGATGCTCTGAGAAGCTATTGATGAAATTATTTAGCGATACGCGAACCGAATTATATATTAATTGAAGTCTCAACAGATGCACCCTTGAAGTTTCTACAGAGCAACATCAAAAAGTCAATTTAACTGCTAGTTTTACTTTATCCGAGAACAGTTATGGGAAAATTCATAGCACAAAGGGTTAACACATCTACAAAGGTCGGTAGTTCACTCAAAAATAGAATACGAATTTTAGCATTCTCACTTATAACGAATAATAACGAGCGACGCGAAAAGTACTTCAAGCGCCATTTATTTCCGTGCTCGAGAGTCGAATGGAAGATGCTCAACCGAGAGAATTAGCTGCAATTCTCAAGAACCAATCGACCAGAATTCAACTTCGAAGAGTCCGTGAAAATCGCGGACGAGAGCTTTCGAGATCGAAAGGGGTTGAAAAGTTCAGCGAGTTGCGTTGTCGCATAGTCCGGCCAAACGGCCATTTCCTGGACAAAACTCGATAACGGAAGGAGTACGAGTGACACAAAGAAATGCTTCAGACGAAAGTTGCACGGTATAGAGCTAAACACACGGTGGTAATATTTTGTTAACATTACGGTGATGTTACGTAGTGTTCTCAGTGACAATGGGTACTTTTCTCGATTGCAACGCGATATTAGAAACCGAATTGATAAATAAAATAAAAAATTGTTACGGTTCAAATGATAATCATTTCGTATAGAGCCTACTCAGCAACGCAGTTCAATTTTCAATTTCTTTCAATTTTCGTTACGCAGTGTTCTCAGTGACAATGGATACTTTTCTCGATTGCAACGCGATATTAGAAACCGAATTGATAAATAAAACAAAAAATTGTTACGGTTCAAATGAAAATTTCGTATAGAGCCTACTTAGCAACGCAGTTCAATTTTCAATTTCATTCAATTTTCGTTGCATGAGTAGTCGAATTTTCGGACTTCGTTCACGGGCGAGGGCCAATCGCGGCGAGGCGGCGGAATCGAACGGAACCGGATATAGTAGACCCAGAAATCGTGCACACTTGTTGCGTCCGCGGAAACGCTATAGTCGTTTCTTGCGTTTGTGCACGCGTCTATGCGACCCGCAATTAAAGATGCATTTCATTGACCGTGCCTCCATTGACAAGCCCTGTCTCGCGGGTAAGACGCTGACGTCAACCCGTTCCGCCCGCTCGCATTCCGAACGCATTTTTCAACTTTCGAGAGCTCTGTGCAATTCTTATTCCCGCCGAAAATAACGTTCCAAGGGAAACGTTGTAAATAGAGGTAGCGAAATTGTTCGAGGGTGAAATTGTTCGAGCTGGGATGTGGAATATGCTAAGAGTCTTGCTTTACTCTGCAATGTGGCATTTTGATTGTGGTGTATATTAATACGTTTTCTAAATTGGTGAGTTGAAAGTGAATGGAACATTTTTGAACGCGATGCGGAACGGTTCGAAGTTTAATTTAACGTAGCGACATTTTTGGGTTTCACTGGAAAATGTAAGTTTTGGGATAATGAATTTTTCAGAGTTGGGGAGGATTTAGTTAAATATTTTTGGGAGGAGTTTCTAGTGTATGAGAAGTAAATATTAAGATTCTAATGGTTATTATGTGGTTTTTAGCGAGATTAAATATGAAAATTGCAATGATGAGGAATATTGTAAAAATCGTGCGATTGCAATGGGATAATTAAGAAAACAATGGAGCATTTGAAATGAAATAGGGGGTAATTTAAAATATGGAAACTACCGAGCGATTGAGCAAACTATTTGCAACCCGAATAATTTCGAAGCCTCCGAAATAACTCGAAATAACCGATGTAAACTCCAATTTTAGCCGGGCTTTATCTCACGGAAGCTCGGGCAATTAAATCGATCGAGTGATCGCCCCCGCGATCCAAATTTACACTGAATTATACAATTAAACATCCCCCACGAACCACCCCCACCCAGCAAAACAAGGAAAACGGGTCAGATACAAAATACACGGGAAATATAAATATTTCAAAATTCCTCTACCTTTCTTGAAACTACCTGTAGAATTTTCTATCAAAAGTTCCTGCTTTCTTTTCCCCAAGAAAATAAAGAAAGTAGCAAAATATAATACACATGAAACATTCAAGGATTCCTCCTTGTAAACCTACAACTCCCCACTGTCCCCTGACAAACTAAAAAAGGAAAGACAAACACAGGAAATAAAAAAAATCAAGCTTCCTCCTTCGTTGAAACTACCTGTACAATTTCCTCTCAAAAGTTCCTTTCTCTTCCACAACAAAATAAAAGTAGCAAAATATACACACGAAACATTCAAGGATTTCTCGTTGCAAACGTGCAACTCCCCACAGTCCCTGACAAAGCAAAAAAGGAAAGAGAAATATACACGGGAAATAAGAATATCTCAAGATTCCTCTACCTTTCTCGAAGCCGCCTGCAAAGTATTCTCTTGAAAGGTTCCTGCTCTCCTGCCTGTTTCTCTCTCTCGTGAGAACAGTTCTCCGGGGTCTGCGGAGAACCGGTGTGCTCGGCTGATCGAGGCGGAATGAGCGCCGGGGCTCAGCAGGGCGACTAGAAAACCGGCGGCGGATACGGTCGATCAACCACCCCCACCCTCCCCGAACGAAAGCCTCACCGTCTATCCCTCAACCCTCCTCCGCCCCACGCCGGCCCCCTCCGCCGCGCTCTGCGCTCCCCTTTCCGCCCCGACGTCTGTGCGAAAACCACCCTCCGTCCGCGTTGATACGGGGCTGATATGACGCGGCGTCGGCGCGCACACGCCAGCCACCGCAACAACCGCCGGGCGGAACATGGTACACACACACGCGCTTCGCTCCCCTATTGTGTGGCCGTGTGTGTGTCTGTGTGTGTGCGTGTGTGGAGCTTACGTGTGTCTCTGCCCACGCTATGACCCGATCGGAGCGGCACACTCGGCCCGCTATCCTTGAAATCTTCCTCCACGTCAACATCCTAGCGAGTCTTACTGCTCTAAACTTGCTTGCCGATAACATCACGCGTGTCTTACCGGTGGTTTCAGACGAATGCGAGCTTGTCAGCGTGGCTTGACACTGGAATGAGAATCAGTTAGAATCCATCTTGGAGTTTTAGTTTTCGAGTTCTCTGAGGAACTCTGGTGACTCGCGATGTAGCGTTTTGAAGTATAAACGGCTTAACCCTTTGCGGTCCGAAGTAACAGTAAGAAGTAACAATAATCTATTGTTATGATTTTTATAGGAATTGCATGTTAATCGTATTAAATGCTCGGTAGTTCTAGAGTTAAGGGTACGTTCGTAGAGTTTCTAGTAAAGCTAAATCATCGATATTATGTGTATCATTGCTCGATTACTGAACGCAGCTCCGTGTAGTTTTACGTGCAGTTCCGACAGTGTTGCAACTGCGCTGTAACGTACCCTAAGGAAGCGACTAGCGCAGCATCCCCTTAACTCACTCCTCTTCTTCCGGCCACAGTCGCTGGGGGAACGATGTCGCTACGGATGACGATATCGTCGTCTCCCGACGAGGCGCGCCGTTCGCGAGAATGATCGTCGCACGAGCGGGGAAAACAGTTCACGCTGGAAATAAGGTTCCAGCGTTTTCGCCTCGTAGTTACTGGAATACAGCGTGGGCTGGACGTAATATTACCAAGCTTCTTATGAGACCACTATAAATACCTCCTACATGCCTTTTTTAGCAGTTTGATCGCTCGCAGTAGATCCTTCTAAAGATACTTTATCCATGTTCCGCTGAGAGGTGAAATCTAAAAACAAAAATACGTGATCATTCCAGGAATCGGAGAAATATTTCTTATAGCTGTCTATATTAGGAAACTAGTACTATTAAGATTCTCCTTCAGTAATTCTTAATCCCTCGCATGATTTATTTTAACTATGATCGCTGTAAATACCCCATCAGGAATAATTTATTAGAGAAAGAATTTTTATGCTTGTACTTCTGTTACTGCATTGATAACAGAAAAATAATACTCAATTTCCTTCTAAAGAAAACGAACACTGATTTCTCAAATTCAGTTCAAAATTAGTCCGACACGTTACTATAGATCAAGGCGTTAGAATTACACAAACCTCTAAAAACCTACAAGAAGAATACACCAACCCTAATGTTCATAACAAGTCACACGCGAGTCCCTCCATCCGCTTCGAGTTACCAAGAGAAGCGATAGTCCTCGGACCAGGGGAATCCCCAGTCCAGTAGCTCGCGACGTTGCTCGATAAAATACAGGCCAGCATTAGCGAATTGGAAGGTAAATTCGGCAACGTTACGGGCTGCAATTTTCATCGCGTAAGAGGGTCGGGAGCACGTAATTCCTGCGGTGGAGCACGGCGACGTCGATCGCCGGGCCGGCGTTTCGCAACGGATTTTCCTCTCGCTGTCCGGAGCACGCAGCGCGCGCTGACGACGGTGAAATCGTGGCACCGCTTCCCGTATTCAGTCCCCGGCCGTACTTCTTCAGCCCCCGCAACAGGCCGTACGCCCACGCAGCGCCCCGTTACGCCCACGAGCAACCACCCGGACGCCCACGCTCGCTTTTCAACTCTGTGCACGGGGTAGAGGGCGAGAGAGAGAGAGAGAAAGAGAGAAAGAGAGAGGCAGACTGGGAAACGAGGACAGACGAGCAGAGCGAACGAGAAGAACGAGAACAGGGGTTGAGGGATCAAGCGACGCACGAAACTTCTTTTTTCCCTTCTTTCCGTTCCCCACCCCTCCGCGCCACGCGCGCCGTGACGTCCGACGGCGTTACGTCGTGCAAAATATTTATCGTCGCGGCGGACCGGCCGGGAACGGTCTCGAGACGCTCCCCAATTCGGTAATTCATCCCCAATGAAAACAAACTCCGCCGAACGAGCCGGCTCCCTTGTGTTTGATCGCTCTGGATAAACTCGGGAGACTTGCAGTGGAGACCAAATGAATGAAATTTTTGATAGACACTGGGAATAGGAGATAGTCCGAGATTATTAACCGTTTGCGGACGAATGTCGACGTTTTGCTGAGATCTAACTTCCATGTTTGGAGTACCTAGTTGTGAGGAAATGATTTAACTGTTCGAACAGAAAGGAATCGGTACACAGTTTCCTTGTTCTCTGTGACTTAAGCATTCAGTGTTTAATTTAGCAGAGTTTGCAAAAGGGTTTGTGTACTTTTAATAATCTTGCACTACTTAGAAGTGGCGGATAATAAGTTAGATAATAAGATAATAAGATATTATAAGTAATAAGATGGATAACAAGCGAGAAATTCACAGAACTAACCTGACACAATACTTAACGTGTTCATTATAGATATTAACAAAGACATAATAACAACGATAACATGACTTTCACCGCTATACATACGACATTGTACCCCGTAAGTTAAATTAGTTTGGAAGGTACTCCAAATATGGAAGCTTCGAGTAGCCGAAGCGACGATTTTCGTCGTCAAAGGGTGACATTCACAGTTTTGATGAGAGGACACAGTCACCTGAACTAATCAGAGGTTTCCAGCGAGCGTCGCTGGCAAGATTGAACAGCTCGAATTCGTGTCTCCGGACCGTGACTTTAACCCTTAGCATTCCGAAGCTTTTCACTATAAATATTTCAACATTTTCCGATCAGATGAAGACGATATTCTGTAAAATCAACTGGACGAGAGATTCACGTGAATCGACGGACAAAGCAATTCGTACAATAAATGCCCGTAAACCTAGTGTTAAAGAATGTAACGCAAACGTTGCAACGCCAAACAATTCACAATTGTTCCTACTTTTCTTTGCTACAGAAGACAAACTCTATGGGGAAACGCTTAAGATTTTCGTGGCGTTTAACGTGTTAATCGATCTATCTCATCCGCGTCGCCAGGATGACGGCGAAGAAGACGGGGGCGGGTCGGCATGAATTAAACGCGGCCGTCCCTGCGCCAGCCGGCGGATACCCGGAAGCGGACTCGCGCCTCCGCGGAGTGTTTACTCGAGATACGACGCATCCCGGCGCGCTACGTATCTCCTCGTAATTGACCTATTTCCCTGAAGAATCGGGCGCACGCTTGCGCGAGTCTCGTCAAGTGGATACACGAAAACAACCAGCGTCTGGCCGACGAGATGTACAGTGGTTCAAGAGAATACTCCAGTTCTCTCTTAACCCTTTGCCCTGCGACACAGGTATCGGGCATGATCGATACGACTACCTTGTCGATAACAATTTACTGGGAAAGAAGAGGAAGATTGTAGGCTCGTTCTATTCCCGCGTTCGCCGTGGAGTATAACTGGTAATAACAGAAGAACGATGTTCCATTGAAATTCGAACGAACTGAATGATATTCATGCTTAACGTCTACTCGAGATCATCGACAGAATGACGTTGTCGTAAGGCAGCGATTTGACATTGTGCGACTAGAATGGGGCGTATGTAGTCAGCTGGTTTAATTAGGTTTAACCCTTAGCACTCCAGGTTGTTTTGTAATGCATCAGCAACTAATTTTTATAGTATTTCTAGCGAAAATTAGAAATGCTATAACATTTCTTCGACCCTGTATTTTCCTTAGCACAAAATTTGGATGCGTGAAAAATCGAATAATTTTAGGGTGGTTTCTTTAAGATTCATTGAAATATCTAATATTATTCCTGGTGCAATATTGGAGCCTACAGAGTTCAAAGGGTTAATGCATTTAACACTAGAACTAAGAATTTAATATGATTGATAATGAAGTTTCTATAGAGTTTGTAAGAATAGATTACTCTCAGTTTCTGCAGACGTTCGTTATAATATTCAGATGAATCTATTTTATACGTCGTTTCGAGTACTCGATGCTTCTAAGATATCAATCATTGCGAAACGTTCGTTCTAGTGTCGATGCTTCAGTTTCCAAACGATAGTAGAGAAGCTTCTTACAGGTGCTAAAAGCTCGAGCTCCGGTGTCGCAGCGTCGTACAGAGGGAATGTTGATGGGACCATTAAAATGTGAATAAACACTATCTTGGCGCACTGCGAAAGCTGCCGCCGCGATGAATATTCAAAGTCCTCGCGATGATAATGATAACAGCGTCGTCCTTCCCGCGCGGAACAGCAGGAAGCACCTGTAACGAAGCGGAAAGCGTTTGAAAACTGCCGAGACGAGGGTAAAAGCGATGAGGAGGTAATTAGTGGACGCGATAGAAAAAGAGGATTAAGAGTATGTGGAAAAAAGAAAGAGGTTAATGCGAGCGTCGTCGAAGGTCAGGGGGGGGAGGCACGCGATCCCAGCTAATTTCCCGACCGAGTATCGAGAAAATGAAACGCCACACCCTGCGACTGACGGGGACACTTTCCCCGAATGCATGGGGAACAGGCAGTTCGTTCGAACTGCAGTTTCCAGCGTGCGCTAACCGTCGAATTGATTACCCTTTTACCAGCCGTCCGACTCGTAGAGAATTCCTGAGGGGTTGGGCGACGTTTCCCGAACCGAGTCGTAATTCCGCGAACCGATCCGACCCTTAACCCCTTTTCTTGCGATCTATTTATTATCTGCTTGAAACATCGTTAATAATTTAAGAGAGAAACAGAGTAGAACTATAGAGTCTGATATTTAATATTGAACTTAATATTGATATTTAATATCAGAATAAAGTGATTTGAGAGTCACTAGATTTGATACAATAAAACTATAGAGTCTGATACTTAATATTGAACTTAATATTGATATTTAATATTGGAATAAAATAGCTTTATTCTCAGAGTACTAGTGATTTCCCTTCGAGTCAGTTTCAAAGAATGTTAAATATTTCTAGCGAGAAACCAAGTGCAAAGGGTTCAAATATACATTCCTCCGGCGTATCGGAGGACGAAACAACCATCCGGATGTTAAGGGTGTCGTCTCCACTTTCATCCCTTCATCCCGAATCCCCCGACGCGAGTCGCAATTACTCCCGTTTCAAACCAACTGTATCTACACCTGACTGTAAGTACCTTCGTTGTCCCTGCAATTACACTCTTCCGGCAAGAAAATATCTAGTCTTGCATTCGCATCATACCCTTCGTCGCGTGCTATGCACTTCCGCGGTCGATAGCTCCCATAAACTCCACCGTCTCGTCTCCCTCGAGATTAACGCAACGAAAATCGATGCGAACGTAAGCTGAAACTCTCGGTAAGTCTGCGTGTTCTCATCTTCCTCGAATCAAAGGGATTTCCTTGACGAAATCGAAAGGTCAAGATTCGTCACGGTGGTTGCTCCCTCGATCTTACTACATCTCGATCCAACGAAATTTCATTTGCCCGGCGCGTCACCTGGAAAATTCGTTTTTGACACTAGAACTACCATCTTAAACTGACTTAAATTTCTTTACAAAACTTCTGTGTATTTATTAAGATCTCAATTGGCTTATATTTTGGTATAAGCATTACTAAACCAACTTCTTCAATGATTTCTCATAGAAGCATCTGTACTTGTCCGATAAGCAACAGAAAAAACCAGGAATGGTAGTTCTAGTGTCAACCCCTTGGCGTACTAAGCTAGTGTAACATTTTACTATCGACAATTTGGCGGAAATGCAACAAAATTTTCCATTCCACTTGAAATGGAAACTTCATTTGATGATAACTATTTTGCTATTATCAGTTTATCTTCAAATGAGATTTCCATTTCAAGTAGAATGGAAACTTACATTCCTGCCAAATTGTCGGTAGTACAATAATCTTACAATTATCAATTTGCTTTGAACCCTTGGTCGACAACATTGTTCTTAAATTAGTCTAGAAATCTTCACCATGAGTCTCACTCGTCATTGTATAGTAAGGGGTGGAGTCTAGACAAAAAGTTGTACCGCCGGAATTCGCGTGACGGCGCAGCGACGGCATTCAGAGGGCAGAAAAACAGATAAGGCGGCCAGAGTTAATTTACGCGTTGTCGGAGCCTGATTAATCCGCGAAGGATAACGCCGGACTGAGAGGACCTGCGCCAGCCGGTAATTACAGGCGAGCTCCGTGAAATAATATAATCCGACGTGCTCGTCGTGCCGAAGGTTGGTCCCCATTGACGTCACCCGTTGATTCTGGGATCGGCGAATCCCCGTACTTCGAGGACTAGTGGGGAGACGTCGCGTGGAGATCCTCGTCGGTGGAGGGGAACCCCTCCAAACTCGATCCAGGGATGTTCCATCGAAGGCGCTTTGGACCGGCTTCATTCCCGACGAAATCGACGCCTTAACCCCTTGGCCTATGATCTCTTGCACAACTCTGATCGATACGGTCACCTTTGTCATTAAGAATTTATTGGAAATATAGAAAAATAAGCATATGTTATGCCTATATTTCCTTTTAAGTATAATACTAATAAGTATAAGTATAGTATAATATTAATAAGTATAAGTTACTAATAAGTATAAGTACAGTATAATACTAAGTATAAGTTACTAATAAGTATAAGAATAGTATAATACTAATAAGTATAATAATAATTAATTTGATTACAAAGGAATAATATTTACTTTGCATTCAAATGAACTGAGTAATATATATTTGTTGAATCATGTTGAATATCTTCATCACGAGTCTCACTCGTAGGACAAGGGGTCACTACATTTCAGTCCCTTGGAGTCAAAAATGAAATTTACCATGAAATACTGGAAAATTCCTGGGATGAATCTTTGATGGCAAAGTACTAATATTTATGAGGGTAGATTCTATAGGATTCCATGGATTTCATCGTACATTTCTTTTTTCTTTAATGCACTCTGACTTTATGTACATTACGCACGTTAATTCGGTGGTAAAGTGTTAATTACCATTTTACTGATTATATTCTTGCAACATTCTTACCTGTGCTTTCTTTTCTTTTGCGGGGCATATTTCTGCTGTTCTCTTTATCGGTGATTCATTTTGTTCATAAATAATTGAATTTGAGGTTAAGTGGATATTTGCCGCGTAAGGGACCGAGGCTTCAAGTAGTAACGCCTGTGTTAGACCAGGCATTTCGGATCGACGATACTACCCTGGTAGGCGGAAAACGTTGCCAGAAAGGAAGAGGGGATATCCCGAAGGAATAGATCGATGTTTCAGTCCGTGTAGTAAGGGACGCCTGTTGATATAAAACAGGAGTAGCTTCATTCATGAAAATAGCTGAACGCGAACACGTTGCACTGCGTCGAAATTCATTTCGCGATTCACGTCTGCCGTAATGATTATCATCTGATTATCGTTACACTTACTACAGTTCTGGTTGTACCGTACGTTCACGTTCAATGTAGGAAAGAAGAAACTAAATGAATAACGTTTGTTATTTTATAGAAGTATCCGCAGTTTAGTACTGCAATTTGAAAATGAAATAATGCAACGATACGACAGATGTTTTCTGTTTACACGGGTGTAATGTTGTAAATATGAATAAACGATTAAATTTGAAAATTAAACGAAAATGATGAAATTTTTTACCTTGAGAAATTCCACGGAAAACTATCTAATCGGAAACAGTTAGATAATACTCTCAGACGATTAATATTTATGGTCGCGGAAACGATCGATTATTAGATCGAAATTCTTCGTTGAAACGCGATCTGTTTTATCGATCCAGACATCGTTTTAGTTGTTGTCTTTTTTTACAATAAGTAGCGACTCTATACTTTTTGTTTTATTAAAAAACATTCCTCGCCGTATTTGAAGCAAGAAACGGCCGCAGTTATTTTGTTTGCGGACGTGTTAACGTAACTGTTGCAATAATTGGTTCAGTGAACAAAGAATACGAACAAAAATGGCGAGGCAATCTTACAGTATAGTCAGGTATTATGGTGGGGAAACAAAAGGCAGATGTGGTTACTGCAAAAACTCTGACTCAAGCTTCAGTCATGGTAAGTACAATTTAGTGTTTCCTCGTTATTTAGTTATCATTAGTGACATCAGTTTGATTACACTCTCATCGATAGGTTATGTAGCTTTCATGACAGATGATACATATCTCAGTTGTTATATCAGAGTCTATATGATAAAATAAGTAACATTACTTACATGTTACATTTCGTATTCCGGAATTAATCAATTTCAGGCATGCAAGCAATTATTTTGGAAGTACAAGATTACCAAGCTTTAATCGACAGAGGTTGGAGAAGAAGCGGTTGTTACTGTTATAAACCAACTATGGACCAAACTTGTTGCCCTACGTACACTATAAAGTGAGTTTGACTGTACTGAACAGCACTGAACTAAAATGAATATACATATTTAGTCTATAATTATGTATTGCAGATGCGAAGCTTTGAATTTTAAGATTACCAAGTCACAGAAGAAAATTTTAAAAAGAATGGGGAAATTCCTACGAAACGAATTACAGAAGGATGATTTAATGGATACCAGTGAAGGAGAACGTGATAATATAGGTAGAAGCATTAATAGATCCTTCACATTCGCCTTTATATAATTAAACAATCTTTGACCATGTATGTTCTTCATTTTAATATAGATATTGTCCATATTCCTCATTTGGATGAAAATCTTAGAAGAACAGAAGAGGATACTCTTGATATAAAGGTCAAGGGTGTTGAGGATGAAGTTAACATAAGATTGCAGTCTTCCAGTTCAGACAAAAGCACAGGAAGTAGTTCAGGGATGCAACAGAAGCAAACGGAAAGTATATCTTGTACAGCAAACCAAAATGAGAAGAGCCAAGCAACATCTAGAAGCTTAGAGTCAGTAGAAATGATTCCATCTAGAATACCATGTAAAAAAGCAAAGCTTCTACGTATAGAGCGCAAGCAAAATAAGTTATTAGCACAAGGGAAAACCCAAGCAGAAATAGATGCTATGTTCAAAACCGAAAATAAACAGCAAAACCAAGGAAAAAGTATAGAGGAATTATTCGATGAAATGTTGATGGGAACAGATAGGTTGAAGGTAGGGTAGTTACACACTTCCTCAATTTTCTTAGCTCGGTATTATATACATTATAAGTTGGTCCTCTTTTCTCCGATTTTCCTGGTCTAAATGAAAATTACTTTTGAATGTTGGAAGGATAGTAGATAAGGGAAATACACTGTACACTATTGAAGTTATATTTTTTTAAAGTAGAATACTTTTTACAGTGTTTCTTTTGCTAATTCACTTATAGTAATTCAGTATGAATAATTGTTTGATTTGCTTATTATTTCAATAAATTTATGTGAAATGTATAACGTTTATAAGCTCAAACTAGTCAGAACGTCGCCAATGAGCTCTGAATACCGAAGGACTGCCGAAAAGTCGTTCGAGGTATATAAAAAATATGAAACAACAATACATGGAGTTCCAGTGCAGAAAGTTACAGAGCCAGGATATATACGATTTCTTGTGGAATCACCTTTACAGGTAATTTTATCTTCTCTACTTTTTCATCGACTGGCTGTCCAGAAATTCCTTACTCATTGAGCGAAAATTTCTGAATTCACCGTCACGTGTACAACGATAATAATATCATACATAATCGTAACAAGAAAATATGGATCACGTTATGATTGGAGCAAAGTGGACCGTTTTAAAATGTACGCTGTTTACTTATTAAATACTTGCCTTTTCTGTTAGATAAACTTGATCAGAGTAAAATCCGATGAATTTTTCGAGTCTTTCGACGCAAGTGCAGACCTTTACAAAAAATATCAGATGGCTGTTCATGGAGAATCAGCAGAGGAATGTGATAAAGAATTATTCCTCTACTTTTTCGTAAGGCATCCGTTGGAGGTACACTTTGTATTCAAGCAGTTCCTTTATTTTATTAAATTCATGATACATAAATGGGTACTTTTCAATTTCAAAGTTATGTATGATATTATTGATATCGATTATCAATATTAACAAACTATCTTCTCTCTTCATCGAACAACATATCAGTATTTGCTGCACAAAAAGAATTCTCAACTATATTTTCATTTTTCAAGCAATGGACAGCAGAACATGGACCACCGTGCGGGTACGGTGCGTTTCATGAACAGTATTGGCTGGACAATGAACTGATAGCTGTTGGAGTTATAGACATTTTACCATCTTGCGTTTCAAGCGTGTATTTCTTCTACGACCCGGCGTACTCTTTTCTGTCCCTGGGGACATTTAGGTTAGTACCCGCGACCCAATGCAATATTCATATTCCTCGAGATACCAGTATCTAATAAATTATTACACGCCCCGTATAGTTCATTGCGGGAAGTTTACTTAACGAGACAATTAAATAAAACTGCCAAGGACTTGCAGTATTATTACATGGGTTTCTACATACACTCTTGTCCAAAAATGAGATACAAGGCAAGACTGAAACCGTCGAAGCTGCTCTGCCCAGAAACTTACGAATGGTTCGACATAGACGCCTGCATAAAGAAACTAGACAAAGAAAAGTACTGCAGGTTCAACGAAGACCTTGACGTCATTGATCAAGATGCCATAGTCGACATAAACAAGGTAACAAAACAGAACGCAAAAAAGGAAATACTGTACACCTTGTTGCGCATCAGTTACTTATAATGAATTATTTTTTGTTAGGTACTGGTTCTGTTCCGGCAAACCGCGATGCCATTCAGAATCTACAAGGAACGTTCTCAGTGGTCTGTGACGAAAGACGAAGAGGAAGAGATCGAGAAGTACGCGAGTCTGGTTGGAATGAAGTGCGCCCAACGTATGTTGCTTTACCGTCTTTAATTCTGTACAACGGAGTTCGACTTACCATATTGTTTTCTTTTCCCGCGACTAGCGAGTATCACAGAATAGCAATAATTAATTAACAGATCAAATGAAATGTAACTGCTACGATTAAAGTATTTGTGGCGATAAGTGTATAGAATGCTAATAAAACTTCTGGCAACCGAAAACTTCGTACGGTACACACTGTACACACTCGCGAGTGCTTCTCGTTTCCGGTTCTCAGGGTGAAAGGAGACAATAACGCAGCGAACGGTGCGCTTTAAACATAGTTTATTCAATAACGAAACGATTCAATGGTCAATCACATTATAAAACATTCTACATTACTTACAAAACGAATGATTCCATTTGGTATAGAGAGTCGCGCCACGTGAAACCGCACGATCAATGCGCGCGCGTATTGTACTATAAATTTCACGCTCTCTGTTCAAAGATTTGCGTAACGTATCGACGGATTCCTAAAAGAAAACACATGTACACTAGCGGCGTTCTCTGTTCTCGTCGAGGGTTCACTAAAATATTCCGTCGAGAACTCGGCCACCGTTTCGGCACGGGTGAAAGTCCGACGGCATCGAATCACGGTCGCCTAGGCCCAGCGTCTCTCCCTAAGTCGGCTCTCGGTTTCACGAAAGTGCTCCTAACGTAATGGTCAAGACGCGCGGCGCTTTTGAAATAGCTAATTCGTCCGACCTCGTTCCGCGTCCTCCTCGGAACGAACCTCGTTCCAGCTCTGAATGTTCCCGCTGCCGCCGATGATGAAGATCACCATGCACAGGATGCACACGCCTGCGCCGATCCAGAACAGTATCTGCCACTTCTCGATGGGATTCTAGAACGTACAGCGACAACAGGCTATTAACCGAGCCTCGCTCCATCACCGCGTGCCCTAACGTTTACCCAGTACCTAAGCGTGGAACCATGTTAATTGCGATACGTTACCATTGTCAAAGACGCCGAGCTACCAGGTCGTTCGAGAGCTAGCGTTTTCAAGATCGGTTTCAGACTAGCGTGAACGATCATCGTTTCTGAGTCGACGGCTCTTGGAACGACCTGGTACCTCGAACGAAGCGTTAGCGTTACCATTGACCAAACGAACGTGTCACCGTGTCGATCAAAGACAGATGCAATGAAGCGTCGAGTGACAGATGCGTGTGCGCGAGTGTGTATGTGTGCGGATGCATGGGAAGCGTGTGGTGCGACTTGTAGGTACTTCTCGTACTATAAACGATTCAAGATATAGAGACGAGCGGTACCCACGAGTCGTGGCACACAGCTGCGAGGTGAAACAAGGCACCAGCGTGCAACGAGAGCGTTCTCGGCGTTCGTTTCTCTATTGACATTGTCCGTTAGTGCTCGTCGACAGGAGCAGGCTCGCGTTCTCCAAGTCACGCGCCTGTATCCGTGAAATTTCGGGAGCCGCGATTGCGAAACTAGACTCATTCCGGATGCACCGCGTACACAATTCCCCAGTACTGCCCGTACTATGAGTTACGCAACACGGTACAAGGCTGTACTGAGGTCTCGAGCACGCTAAGAGCACCTTCACGTACGTCAGAGCTGTAACTAAACACTCGGCGCCGCATCATCGCGCTAATAGCAAATGTATATAATTCCCGCTGATGCCTGTTGCTTGTCGCGTGCGAGTTCGCCGCTCCCGGCGGCGGGGACGAGCGGCGTTTTCGAAATTCCGTCGCGGCAGATGGTAGTTTTTGCGCGATCATGTAACGATTCGTTTGAAAAACCGAGCGACGTTTAGCCAGAGTCAACCTCGTTACACGAGCCAAAGCTTGACAACTGTCGCGATCAGATGAAACGGTAAGCGGACACAGATGCGAACCTTGCAACCATTCGCACCGAACAGTGACGAACACGGATGATACTTACTCCGTACTTTCCAGCGATCTCCTCGACCAGCGGTGAGATAATCATACCGGACATGCTGCCGATCGTGTTCATCAGTCCGTAGATGAAGCCCGCGAAGTTTGGGGAGAGGTCCTGGTTATTGGACAGGTTCGATATGGCGGCCGCTCCGTTGAACCCCAACGCTAACACCAAGAACACGTTCGCCAGAACGAATCGGCAGCCGACGTACCCGACCAGAATTAAGAAGATACCAGGCACGAAGTGAGCTGTGAAGATGGGAAAGGACGTTCGTTCAGAATGTGTCTTCTTTAAAATACAAGGATATCAGAGCATCTCGAAGATTCACTGATGTTGAGAATGTTACGGTGGTGTTTAGCGTGAAAGGTCTTTACAAAATACGGTAGCGCCTTTCCGAAGAACGGTGAGACTGACGATTTCCTTGCGCTTAATCACGTCCCCGGCCCAGCTGAAGAAGAAGCCGAGGAGCAGTCTGCCAGCCCACGGCAAGCTGGCCGCGATGCCTCCCTTCGACAGTTGGAATCCCAAAGCTTTCGTCAGGTACAACATCATCGAGTTCTGGTAGAAGAACAGGAGGAACAGGTTGCCGAAGTGGCAGCAGACCAAGCTGAGGAACGGCACCGACGTCAGGATAGCCTTTATCGGCGTCTCCTTCAGCGACGGCTTCTTCGCCCTGACGGTCCCCGCTTGCGCCCTGAAATACGGACCCTTTGGAACTTCGAGGCTCTTTATACTCACGCGTTACTAGGGATACTTGTATGGTTTAGCAACCTACTACTTGCTGAGCTATTAACGCGTTGAATGCCATGGGGTCGCCGATGACCAACCAAATCGAATTACTAGTTCACTCTATATAATAATGCTACCTAAGGCGACATTCAGGTAGATGAACGTGCAGCAATAATTCAATCAAATGATTTGTTCTATGAAATCGTGCGGCATTCAACGTGTTAACGCGTTAACTTGCTCGTGCAACATCTTGGTCCAACACGGGAAACCCAAGAGACCGTCGCCGAGATAAGTGCCGGTAGCGAAAGCGCGAAATGCCAACGGGAATACCAACTGCAGAATGTGCTCCTTCTCCTCGTCGCTGATGCCAGGGTGCTCCGCGGGCGAGTCGTAGGTCAGCACCGCCCAGAACACGATCCAGACGAACATCAGCAACGACGGGATGTACCAGCCGTTCTCCCACTTGAGGTTCTCCGCGATCATCGCCACCATGGGGTAGGTGAGGATGGTGCCGAAAGTGCCGCCGAGCAGCGACCAGACGAACCTCGACTTCTCGTCGGGCGGGGCCCACTGCGCGACCAGACTGTGGCAGGCCGGGAACGTCACGCCGCCCGTCAGGCCTATCACCACCCTCGACAGCAGCAGCACGATCCAGTGCATCTGCGCGAAGAACGGGCTGAACAGCGACACGACGGCAGCGACGATGGAGGTCCACAGTATGGCCGCCTTCGGCCCCCATCGGACCGCCATCAGTCCGCCCAGGAAGTTCCCGGGAACGTTGCCGTAGCTGTACGCGGCGATCAGCTGGCCCCGGACTTCCGGCTTCCAGTCGAACGGCTTCCCGTTCAACAGCTCGATCGGCCCGTCGGACGGACGGGCGTCCTCGTCGGCGTCGCGCGCGAAACGAGCGCCGCCCGCCATTTCTTCGGCGCGCCTAGATAGAATGTAGTCTTCGAGCTCTAGGCCTGGGTCCAGCCAGGAGACCGCGCGCCGGAAGCGCGAGTCCTCGGTCTGCTTGCACACGCCTTCGCTCGCGTTGCCGCCCGTGGCCTTGATCATCGGCACCGCCAGGATAGGCATCTGCAGCCGGCACATGTAGTTCGTCCAGCAGGCCGTGAACATCATCACGCAGATCAGCACGCGCGCCGGGATCCATTCTGGCAACGATCATCGTCGGCGATCAATTGGGATCGTACGCGGAGAGATGCAGTCGGTGGGGGAATGATAATGATCGTACGATGATTAAATAAGTTCGTTATGCTTAGAAACCATGGAGCTGATGAGATCTAACTGCGTCGTCTTTCGAGTTAGCGCTGAAGACGAAAGATAGATCAATTGGGCAACCTATGCAACTGAATTCACTTGGAATTTTCATTGTTAGTTTGGAAGGCGGTGATTCAGGTTTAGAAATCGAATGTAGGATTCTTTCACTGTTTCGATGGGTTTCAACGGAAGTATTCACCGTCTCCCGGGATTACTGTATATAAATATGCAATTAACATCTGGATTCGATAGTGCGCAGCTATGCTTGTATTACGCGCGAAGCGTTAGCTAGAAAATGTACAAATTGACGCATGAATTATGAAAGTTCGGCCGCTCCCAATCTTTAGAAATTCGATCGAGCCGAAGCGGCGAGCGCGCGGTGAGATCGACGCTGGGTCAGGCGAGGCGTTCGTGCCGGGTCTCGCCTAGCACGCCCGGCGCATTCAAGCTTTCCGGATCGGCGAATCCGAGCCGCCCGTTTCGCGTGAATTTCCGAATGACAATGTAAACGAATTTACAGAACGCCCCGAGCGAGTCGAATACGCCCGACGTTTCGCGCTCGCGGATCGCGCCTTCCTGCAACGCCATTGCTGGAACTTACTCAACAGCTTCCATATCACGGAATCCGGACCGGTGAGGAAGTTCGAGAGGCCGGACGCGCCTTCCTGGATGGAATTGACAATGAACATCGGTACACCACCGGGGAGATTCGAACGGGATCGGGAGAAAGATTATCGCTGACGATGACCGCTCGTCAAGAGGAACGCGACCTATCGTCTCTGCCAACTGTCTCATGTTTCGCGAGTTTGACTGTTTGAAATTCCAATTTGAACCGATCCGCCTGCACCTTCAAGTCGCTCGTTTCCACAACGTATCGCAGTTTTAATGCTTCCGATAATTACAAATTCTTGACAAATTAGAGCTGATCGTTACGAATAATCGTTCTCTCTTGTATTTCCTTCTAACAGGCAATCTTCAGCGAATCAGAAAAGCTGATCACTAGCAAAATTAAGATAAAGATCCTGATACTGAATTTTAAAAGGGAAATTTGCAATTTCTATTTTAATGATATATATACCGGTGGAGCGATCAGCAAATCCTTAGGCGGCAAGTTTCAAATTCAACGCTTCGCGCTTCTACGTCAATTGTTCAGAGTGTGCTTCAAATATCGTTCAAAAGGAAAAGAATCGTTTACACTGCTGTCCTCGAACTACCTTTCAAATAAAACATTTCAATTGTCAAACGTTCGAAGCAAAAAGCGACGATGCACCTCGACTCGACACGACGCTCAAGAAAACGCGGCGCTCGGTTTTCCGGAATCTAGAAATTTTCCCAGAACTCGGTCGTTCAGGCTTCTCTCCCGGCGGCCGTCAAACGGCCACAGTACAATTACCAAAGAAAGTTCTCGACTACTTTCCAACCGCTCCGACGCTGTATTTACAAACTGATCCGCGCGCTATTGTTTACGAAACTGTTGCTGCTCCTAATGCCGTTACTCGTTGCCTCGCGGTGCGTTCGTTTCCGTTTCGCCGTTGAAAAAGCCGCATCCACGGCTAAACAGGCGACGTCCATGGCAAACCATGGCGACCAAGGTGAGCGGAAGGTTTCGTCCGTGCGTCCCGAACGAGGGGAACGTTCGACGAAAACGGAATGAGAGGCTTCGAGCCTCGAAACCGAGCTACACGGAATATATTCCACGCTGCGACGATTCTTCAAAATCGACTGAGGAACGTGATCATCGCGTAACACGGTTGAATAACGGGCTTCAATCACTCACTGCGCGGGGAACTATGCTAAACATCTCGAGCTTCGAGAATTCCACGAATTCCTCCGTAGATTCGACTAATGGACGCGAAACGGTGTAACCGATGCGGAAGAAAGTCGATTATCTGAATTCGAGTTGACTTCCAACGGAAAAATACGCGTTCCGAGAATACGATCGTTCTACGATTCTCGAAACCAGCCGAGATCTGTACGTAAAGATTCCACGATTTAAAAGTGCCTTTTACTTCGAGTCGAATCAAGCTTATGCATTTACTTTCATATCGTTTTCGATATTCTGCGTCGCCCGTTGGAGACGATTGTACGCGCAATTAGAATAAATTGAATTTACGAGAAGGAACACTTTTCCGTATTTTCGACACCGAACGATTAACCCTCGTCCTACGATTCACGAGCCACTTTATCATCGATAAAGAAAAGAATTCCTACTCACGCTCTAACGGTGAAACATCGATAACACTGGATCAGCCAAAAAGTCGTTGCTCTCCAATTAACGTTTACAACCGATAAACTTCCTATACAGATAAACCGAGAAACCACAGCTAATTCTCGAATGAAACTCAAAGTTCCCTTAACAACGAACTTCCTAGCCAACGATTCACGCGAGAACAATCGATCAAATTCACGCAGAATTTCGAGATTCGGAAGTTTCCTCTTTCCCTTGGACGCGACGCAGGGTTAATCTAGACGACCGACGAGAAATCACTCGGAAATCTTCGGATACTCATAGAACTTCGGTTGGTCACTCACGTGGAAAGTACTTCTTGCAAAACTGTTTGTACATTCTGCTGCTTCGCCGGTGAATCGATGAAGGCACGGGTCAAAGGGTCACACGCCGGAGAGGGTCCTCTGGCTCAAGTCATGTTCAGAGGCTCCCCTTGGGACCGCGGAGGATCGGACAACCACCGGATGGACTCGGACGCGGCACGGATCCGAATCGGTTCAAAGTGTTACTGATGACATCGGTCATCCGGCCCGCGTATTTAAGGAGTCGGCGGGTGGGGCCGAGTGGGGATTCTCAGGTACTTCCCTTCCTCGCCGGTGGAAAGGAACAACGGGCCTCGGGGATTGTCAGCGACACCCCTGCCTCGGGGGTGGTCAGCGTTTCGCCCATGTAAATTTAGAATATCGAGCTTCCACGAATTTTCCTGTACACCTGGAACCATGCTTTTCATGAAGTGGAAACGATTCCCGGTCGTTTCGTAATTCTACCCCCTCGCGGGACGAGGAACTCACCGGTTTTCCTCGTGAAACTCGCGATCGTGTTTTTTAACGATAGATTTACGGACGTTTGTTGTTCGGTTTATTCTGTTGTTCGTAGAAAAATTGATGTTCGACCATTTAGATCTTGGAAATTAGGGATTTAAAATTAGGTTATTACGATACGTGTTCTTGTGCATCAATTGACCGGTCTGGTAGTTTTAGTGTTAATCATAGAACTATAGAGCGTTTGCTAGTAAGTTTCAGCTACTGGCAACGCGAGCGTGATTATATTCATATATTTTGAAGCATCGATCAAACTAGAATTTGTAACTTAAAGAATAGGGAATTCGATTTTGTAATTTTGTTTTGGGTTTGTGTTGTACGTATCTAAAATGTTAGATTGATGGACTAGCAGTTCAAACGAGAAGTAGGAGATTAATCGGACGAGATAGGAATTTCAAATTAAATTTTCAAACCGGTCACTTGTTCGGTCGTACGTTCGTTAACACTTCGACACGCGTTGACGCGTTTTTCTTTCGCAAAGTCAAACAAAGTAACGATACTTTTTTCTGCGAAGTTTTTTTCATTTACGACCCGCGCGAATAAAGTTATGATATAAACACCATATTGAACCGACAAGACTTTTCGGCCAACCTAACCGTTTTACACAGCTCGACAATATTAAAATAACTGCTTTACATATTCAACTTAGGTTTAACTCTCGTTTCTTCGTTAAAATGCTATAGAAATACATTAAACACGCCATCTGATCAGAATAAAACACGTTAACCCTAGAACCGGGTGCCTCGCCGACAAAATGGCGGGTCGCAGTTTCCTTGTTGATATCTCGAAAGTGTTGAATATCCGAAATGATTGTAACACTAGAACTACCGAGCATTTTATACGATAGATATGTAATTTGTATTATCATTAATAATTTATTGAAAAAAGAGAAAAACTCTACGCACATGTTATGCCTATATTTCCTTTTAAGTATAATAGTTAATTACAGAGGAATAATATTTACATTGAATTCGAATTAACTAAGTAATATATATATTTGTTGAATCATGTTGAAAATCTTCACCACGAGTCTCACTCGTTGTCGTAGGACAAGGGGTTAATCGGTTTTCATTGATCCAATTACACGAATATGAATCCCGATTGTCTGTTTCGACATCTACAATTTCCAAAATCTAAATGAACGAATATCAGCTTCCCCGGGAACAATAGAATAAACCGTACAATGAATGCCCGTAAACCTAGTGTTAAGATACACGAGTAATTGGAATAAATCGCGAGCGCGCTTCTTCCCGGTGTCTCCGGCGAGCGTGGTTCACTCGAAACGCGGCTCGGCCGGAGGCAACGGTGCTTGACACGGACGCGGGATTGAATTGAACGCAATAAACGCCGGTTGTCATGCGGGACGCTCGTCGATTTGACATCGCAGCTTCCTTAATTTTCAATAATTCCCCGCGATTTACGTAATCCCGCGGCCGGTCGCTCGCTCGCTGGCCGCGGATTTTCGTCGCGCCGCGCCGCTGTTGCGAACCACTTGCACGTTCATTTGCATGTCGAATGTCGTTCATTAATTCGTCGGCACGCTGCCGAGCGTCTTCGACTTTTCCGCCTTGGACGAATTTGCTCGCTCGTTCGCGCGTATTGCGCGTGTCGGTGATTCGCGTAAAATCGTGTCAGGAACTGGCGACTGACAGCTACTAGCACGTTTCTAAAGATAATACGGGAGAACCGTGCAGCATTTGATTTTCGACGTATTAACGAGACAGAAGGCGATCGTTAGCGAAAGCATGTTGTGTCTTTAGCAAATTTAATTGAGATGCCTCGATATCTAGCATTAGAACCGAGCAGTTGATTTTGAAATTCGATTCAGTTTTCAATTGATTTGGAATTTGGCAATTCATTGTTGGAATGATTTAGGATAGCTGATTCTTTTGGAATGTTAGTAACCGCGACGTGAGACAAATGGCACTCGCTATTTGAACAGGCAGTTACAGTGGAATGACACAAGGACAAGAGGTAATTTTCTGGTTAATCGCTGTATAGATAGTGCATAATGTGAACCGTTTATTTTAGAAATGGCTTGAGACCCATGAAAGAAAGAAGAAAATGTTAAATAGGAAAGTGATGTCGAATTGGATAGACTAAATATCTGAATATATGATAAAATATATGAATAGATTCATAGAATTATATATTCGCATTCATAGATCCATCTATTTCATAGTATTATACTATAGATAGCTTCCGAAATACCAACTAATAATGAATAGCGAATTACCGATGAAAAACATTAGAAACATAAAAGGAAAAGCAGAAAATTAGGTGATCGATCAAACCCGCATTTCTCAGCCGAGTCAGCGAGTAATCTCTTATCAATAGACATTTCACATTTAACACTAGAACTGCTAGCCAAAATGACTGGTTCCAGTGTTTTTGTTTCGCAATTATTGCTATCTTCGAATTGAATATTCGAAATGATTTTGAAAATAAACAGTTTCGCTTGAATACTATAATGAACGTCCGAAGAAACCGCGAATAATCTGTTACTACAATATTCGTAGCGATTACATTTCAATCGTATCGAATGCTCGGTGGTTCTAGTGTTAACCCTTTGCACTCGAGAGGTGACTCTCAGTCACCACTTGATTCGATGCAGTAAATCTATAAAATTTGATATTCAACATTGAACTATGTATAATGCACCGGTGTGTGAAATATCGGATAAAAAAGCTTTGTTTCTCAATTCACTTGTGATTTCTCTTTGAGTCCATTTAAAAAAAACGTCGTCTTTGTCTAGTTAGAAAATGTTAAATATATCTAGCGAAATACTTCCGAGTGCAAGGGGTTAATTCTTATTTGAATCTCAATCTTCTTAAGAAACTCAATATCAACGTTCAAATGTCATTAAACTTCTTTACTCCCGAGTGCGAAACGATCAAATCAGATCTTCCTGGTAATCTAACGGTCGCATTTCACGTGTCGCGTTGCAATGGATCAACGTGTCGATCGAATCGCGTCTCTAACACTAAAACTATAGTATATACTTTTAATACTATAATAAATATATATTTATTAATACTATAATAAATATATATTTATTAATACGTTAAATAAATATATAAATTATAAAATAAATATATAAAAATATTACACCTGACCCTCGATTTACGCGTAGTTTTGACGCGGGTCTCAATTTATATAATATATAGATCAAGCTAGCCATCGAGGTTGCTCGAATTCGATTGAAATTCCCAGAAAATCGAAAACACGCCGCGCCGCTTCGATGCGACGCGCGGAGCGGAGCGAGCTCGTTTATTTGAATTCCTGCGAGTTCTTGGCCGCGGATGTGGTATGGGTACAGTTTCCTGTTTCAATTAACATCGCCGGCCGAGGTTTACGCGCTCGGGCCCGCGTGTTATGGACAACTCTGCTCGCGACACCGATCAATGAAACCCGATCGACGATCCGCGAAGACAATCGCCGCGCCGGGACAACAACTGGCACAAGGCGGGAGCATTCCCGTACAGATGACAGGGAAAAGCATGTCAGTCGCGAGGATAGTTCGTACGCTGGTAAACGGCGTGCTGCGTTAACCCTTTGCGGACGAACGTCGACGTCTCGGCGAGATGAAACGTTCGTATTTGGAAGATTAACCCCTTAACGCACAGTTCATTTGAAAAGAACCGGCCAAAAAAATCAATTTTGATATACTGCGCTTTTGCTCCATGGAAAAAGGCTATATTTTATTCTTGAATAAATAAGCGTTATAGCTTACAATCCCATGTAAATGATTTTACGTTCGCATTTCTACAACTTATATTAGCTTCTCTTCAATGTGTGTTTTCCTGAATAAATAATCACGTGATGAGGCAAATGGGAAATAAAGATGGCGGCGAGGGTACGGTTCCGAATGAGAATTGACGTGGGTAACGAACAACATTGATTCTTGTTAAATTAGTTTAGAAATCTCCATCGCGAGTCTCACTCGTCATTGTACGGCGAGGGGTTAACGTTCCCCAAAGAAAGCGTTTTCCAAGTCACCGTAATTTATTTACCAAAACGAACGTTCGCGGTCAAGGTTGCTCGAAACGGACGACGATTGATCCTTTCTGTCGCATTCGTCGAAAGCGAATTCGCTGCGATTCATTGAACGTTCTGCACGGTTATTAAAACACGCTCTAAGCTGTTTGCAGGTAGTCGATGAAGTTTCGGGAAACCGCCATCGCCACGCCGGAGAATAATTACCGACGCGCGTTCACCGTTAGGTCGTCCTGTGTACCATTTCGTACCCTCCGACAATAAACCTGCATTTCCCCGAGAAAATCCCCGGTCTCGACTAAATCGACGGTGAACGCGCGCAGGCACGTTCAATGGGACCCGTCTACCTGGCGAATTTTCCAATTTCAGGTAAACGCCGCCATTCGCTACCCAAATGACCAATTTGCAGGTAAAATATTCACCGTTCGGGAACGGAATTAACGCGGAAAGTTTTCCCTCTCGAGCAGCTTGTTTGGAGAATATGTTTAGAAATAATTGTCGTCGTTAACTGTTTCGTTTTTCAGTTTTGTCGCGACACCGATGGAATAGAAATTATATTTTCCTAGTAACAGTAAATTTACTGCGAAGGTTTCGTATATTTATGAAATGAATAAATAAATTTATTGATATATATACTATAACACTATATACTATAATACTATAATAAATATATATTTATTAATACATGAAATAAATATATAAATTGTAAAATAAGTATATAAATTTATTAATATATATACTATAATACCATGATAAATATATATTTATTAATACATTAGATAAATATATATAAGATACACTTTTGTTTTCTGAAATGTCATTGTTATTATTTATTTTGTTAAATTGTGCGAAATAAGTATGCATTTCTACAACTTACACTAGCTTCTCTTCGATACTGTGTTTTCCTGAATAAATAATCACGTGATGAGGCAAATGGGAAATAAAGATGGCGGCGAGGGTACGGTTCCGAATGAGAATTGACACTTTTGTCAATGAAACATTGTCTTTCTCTCGAATCGAATGAAAAGGTCTTGTCTTTATTAATTAATAAAGCTCTACGATATTTAGTGCAGTAATTATTTAACGCAAACAGGAGAAAACGTTAATTAAGTACGCATAAAACGTATACGAAGGTTCAGGTAATTGCTCGAATGTAACGTAACTATTAAAGAGACCTAATTTATTTAAAATTTAGTAACTGGAAATAAACCAGTCGCTTTAAGGTAAACGATTCCCTACAGTGAGGAAACTTCCTCGGATAAGAACCTTCAGGGTAGTGTCAAGGTCAGCTTTCTCTTTTTAAACGGAACTACAATCTTTTTAAATACCCTCGCTGGAAATCATTTTCTTGGACCTGTTGAGGCAGGATTTATTACAGTCGCGTAAATTCCTCGGTTCTAAAGTAAATTTCCCTTCCAAAATAATTTTCAACTCATTGTTCCCTTATAATCATAACAAAATAAACACACAATTTTTATAGGTTATAACGAAACCTATTTCTATCGTTAGACTCGCGTCTTTAATATTGTACGTCACTAATACGTTGTTTCATTTCTTTTTATAAAAAACATTTAATCGTCGAATGTTTATGAAATTTATTAATTTTTTTAATGATTTTAACTATTCGAGTAGGTAACATTGGAGGGTTGAATTGTCTATAGGGAACGGTACATGGTTTCGTAAACAAGTGAACAGTGCCATCGGAAGCAGTATGGTGTTACACCTTGTCACTTATTTAAATACGTTGACCTTGTCCAGAATTAATTACCTTGTTATCAGTATCACGAAAATAATCGTCAAACGTGACATGCTTCTTTCAACGGGATACAAAGGTCAGAAGCGAGGTGGATCATCAAAATTGTGGAAAGAGTTGACATAAGTCATTTACCGCGCGAGCTGTTGACACGATTGATTGAAAGATGAAGAACGGAAATCAGATTGTCGCAGAGGCCTTTAAAGAGCAGGTAAAGAAACTTTTTCACTTTTTCAATTTTTTTAATTCCCCGTATCTGTCTTTTCCCTCTTATCTCTTTCTTTTTCATAATCGACACAAGAATTCCATTTTAAGGTTATGTTGCGCATAATACACTTCCCAGTGCAACAAGTTCATTTTGCAATCGATGTATTTTATACCTATATTTAAAATTTTAAATAAACTAAGTCTCTTTAATATTTACGTTACATTGAAGCAATTACCTGAACCATTGTCTGTTTTATGCGTACTTAATTAACGTATTTAATTATCATCTGCGCGAAACGAATAACAAAAGAATTTGTACCCATTTAAATGAGATCATTCGAAACATATGAAATTCGATTAGTTAGATTAATTATTTCTAATTAATGTGCATGGTTTTAATACAACTTTGTTTTTAATACAAGGACATTGCTCTATCGTAATTGATAAGGAGCTCGTATCCAAACGCGATAAGGAGAAAGGCACAAACAAATGAGTAGCAAAGGTTTCGTACTGACTTGTTTACATCGTTTGAAAGTTTTCAAAAAATGTCATCGAATTTAATGAATATGACAATGTCGTTTCGGACGGTTGTTTCAATTTGATGAACTATGTAATGTATGTTATGACAGAAATAGTGGAACTCACTTTTCTTCGGTCGCGGGATAAGCGGAAGTAGTTCTTCCGTGTTGCTGGGCATTCTTCTCGATTTTCTCAACGATTCCTCCATCCCTCGAATTTTTATTTATTTCTCGAACGTGTTGTTCGACGGTCAATTTCGAAAGTCACGTGAACTCTTTTTGTCTCGAGCTCCCTTGAGCTCCATCGGCGTTTTTGTTCTGTTTTTCACGCGACAGCTTTGTAGATAATCAGTTCACACGTAAACAATGCTCGGTGCTATGAAGAATTGAGCAACAACTGATATGGAGCTCGCATGCAACAATGCGCGCGTTAATATTGTCCACGTTTGAAAATTAAGCTAAACAGGGAAAAAGGTAATTGTTTACGTGACAAAAATATCTGTGCACTTAACATTTTCATGAGATCCTTATTATATAATACGTATGTATGTCATTATTGCCAAACGATACTTATTAAATACTGATAATATTAAATGAAATGATTGCTTATTATGCAATGATTATTTGCCAAGGATTTATTAATGATTATTAAGGGAAATGTTTGAAAATGGAACAGTGTCAATCTTACTGTTATAAAACGAACCTTGTTGCTAAATATTTTTGAAAAAGATCGGTATGGGAACAGTTGTATTATATTAATAAATTATTTCTTAATCATAATAGTAATAACGATTTCATTACCAACTCCTTTCACATTTCAGTGAAATCGTAAAAGGGAATTTGTTAAGAAATATTGAACACAGATTTTGAATTTTAAATGTTAAACGCAATTGAAAAATGTCAAAATTTAACCGTTTGCACTCGAGAATATTTTTCTCAACAAATATTCATTATATTTTTTACAAATAACATAAATTAAGCAACAGAACTATTTTATTTCGACATTCCATATGTTAGTACATTAAATAAAATTTAACATTGAATTTAAAATTTTACCATTTTATTGGTGCAATGCAAATGGCGACTGACAGTCTCCCCTCGAGTGCAAGGGGTAAAAATTCAAAATGTGCCTTCAACATTTCTTAACACTAGGTTCATGGAACGCGTGAAATCGACGCATATTGGATTTTAGAAATATTATTTTGTAAATGACATGTGCCCCAATTACCTACTATCAAATCTCCATTTTCCACAATCTAAATAAACGAGCATCAATTCTGTTAGGAATAATAGAATCAAGTGTACAATAAATGCCCGTGAACCTAGCGTTAATAAAGTAACATTTATTTCATTCTGACATTTTCCAATTGTTTCACAGGGCGTGGAGTATGTCTTCGGAATCATGGGACACCCTGTGATCGACCTAGCGCTACAGATGCAGGCCGTGGGTCTTCAATACCTCGGTTTCCGAAACGAGCAGGCTGCCTGCTACGCCGCCCAGGCATACGGATATCTGACCAGTGAGTAAGGACACGGGACAAGGGCCATAAACACGAGCGCAAACAAGAACGTGCGCGCAAAACCGAGCGGTTGACTTGAAAAACATAACAGAAATAATCGTTATCCTCTCGCACGATTGCTGTTTAAACGCGAGTTTAAACCATTTTATCTAAATTGAGCCGAGATTCTTATCTCTCCTTTATTTCAATTAGGAAAACCAGCGGTCGTGCTGTGTGTTTCCGGGCCAGGATTGCTCCACGTTATCGGCGGAATGGCCAATGCTCAAGTGAACTGCTGGTGAGCATCGTCCGGATCCTTTGTACAAAAGAACAAAAACAACAGAATTACCGTCAGCGTTGCGTTACATTATAAACACGTCATTTATAGGGAATTCTTAATACAGCGTATTAAGAAGACGCATTCATATGTATCTCTCATCTTATGGTAATTCGATATCAGACTATTATGATCAATTATGTAACCGGGCTGCATCCATCATTGTGCTATATTATTAAAGAAAATACACTGCGCGTAAGTTAGATAATGATTATATAAACATGTCGTGCAGTAACCATATTAAAAGATGGTACCGGAAACTGTTAATCCGGCTACGCGACTACTAAAAATTACAAAAATAATATTTGATATAGCGTGGCTGTAAATTGACTCTATCCACGTACCATTGGTTCGCTGTGGATATTCGTTGCCTCTATATTCACAGTTTTATGATACATGAATTATTATTGATAAAAGGTACAGCTGCAAATGTACAAGTCGTCAGAGTATTGTTCTCTTTAGGCAGTTCTGATCAACGTACCTCTCGCTCACCGTTCATTTTTGTTTAGGCCACTCATTGTAGTTGGTGGATCCTGCCCCGAGGATCATGAGGGTATCGGCGGGTTCCAGGAGTGGCCACAGGTAGAAGCCAGTAAACCCAATTGCAAATACGCCGCCAGACCGCCGCTGGCCGCGCTGATACCGCTTCACGTGGAAAAAGCCGTTCGCCTCTCTACTTACGGCCGACCAGGTATACCTATTTAGAACAATGTATGGAAAGACAACGAGTACAACGAATCTTTCACGTTACTCGCAGGGGTAGCATACCTGGACTTCCCGGCCACTGTGCTGAAGCAGACCGTCGACGAAGGGAAAATATACAAAGTTTCGCGTTGCCCTCCGCCGCCATTGATATTTCCCGACCGTCAATTGATACAAGAAGCAGCCAATTTGCTGATGAAAGCGAAGAGACCACTGTTAATCATCGGGAAAGGTTGATTTTTCTTGGCCTATGATTTATTTCTCAACTCTGATCGATATCGTTACTTTGTCGTTAATAATTCACTGGAAAAGGAGACAAATTTTAAGCATACGTTATGCCTACATTTCCTTTTAAGTGTAATAGTTGATTACAGAGGAATAATATTTACTTTGAATTCGAATGAACCGAGTAATACGTATATTTGTCGAATCACGTTGAAAATCTTCACCGCGAGTCTCGCTCGTTGTTGTAGGGCGAGGGGTTAACTTGTGTTTACAATGTGCAGGAGCTGCTTATGGCAGAGCGGAGAAAGAAATTCGCAGCCTTGTGTATTCGACTGGTATTCCTTTCCTTCCAACGCCAATGGGAAAGGGCGTTGTACCGGATACGGATGAACGATGCGTTTCTAGCGCGAGAACTTTCGCGTTGCAACAGAGCGACGTTATATTGTTATTGGGCGCACGATTAAACTGGATGTTACATTTTGGCAAACCGCCTCGTTTTCAGTCTAACGTGAAAGTCATACAGGTATGACTTAGCATCGACTCAGATGATAATCGTTGAAGTACATATTCGTTGATATCTTAGGTCGACATATGTCCAGAAGAACTGCACAATTCTGTTCCCTCTGCAGTCGCGATCCAGTCTGATGTGTCCACCGCTGTGGAGTGCCTTGATAACACATTGAAAACTCGCAGTTGGTTTGTTGAGAAGAGCAATCCATGGTGGAAAGACCTTCTAGCTAAGTCAATGAAAAACAGAGAAACGGTTCATGTAAATAAGCATCATGTTTCAGTTTTTATAAGCTTATAATCAGGATTTATCATTTGTATTATTGCTTCTTGTCTTTTTTGCAGGCAATGTCGATGGATATTTCTGTGCCTTTAAATTATTATACTGTGTTCAAGCATATTCAGGATATTATTCCACAGAGTTAGTATCTGGTTCTCTGTGACTACGTGTCAACGTATTTGATAATAAGGGAACAAGTAGTAAAAACGTTGTATTGATGTTGTTTAGATTGTATCATTTGCTCAGAAGGAGCTAACACAATGGATATTGGGAAAACAATGTTGTTAAATGACGAACCTCGACACAGATTAGATGCAGCCACTTTTGGTACGATGGGGGTAGGTTTAGGTTTCGCTATAGCGGCTGCACTTTATTGCAAGAACAATGCACCCACCAAAAGGGTCATTTGCGTAGAAGGCGATAGTGCTTTTGGATTCTCTGGCATGGAAATTGAAACAATGTTTCGGTAAAATTCAATATACGAAATAATGAAATAAGAGCTTTATTAGATACCATCTATCTTAATGTTGTAGATACAAGTTGCCTATCATTATTATTATTGTAAATAATAACGGTATCTATGGTGGATTAGATACCGAAACGTTCAGGCAGTTACAAGCGTCTGGAGAGCCTACACAGGTGTAAGTTTTTAATACACTGAAAATGTTACTTAACAATGTATTGTATTATTTATTAATGTATATATTTAGAACACCACCGTATTCATTAACATCTGAAACACATTATGAAAAGATGATGGGAATGTTTGGCCGGAAAGGATATTTCTGCACAACTGTTCAAGATATTCAACAAGCAGTAAAAGCATGTCTCCAGGTAATTATGATTAATGCTTCAATTAATTACAGAATAATAATTTTAATTGCAAACTACTTTATAGGTACACGATGCTCCCAGTCTAATAAATATTATGATCAACCCTCAAGCTGATCGCAAGGAACAGAAGTTTAGCTGGTTAACAGAATCAAAACTTTAAATTTGTTCAAGATTCTAAAAGAATTTCTTGTTGAAACAGAAGGTTAATGTACTACTTAGACTATAAATTTTATACATTTAATTGTAAGTGTAAACACTGAAATCAATTTATAAAAATATGAATTTCTATAAACATCTATATTCTAGTTACATAAAAATATATTTTTGTTGAAGTAAACTGAAAGAAAATATATTGTACATTTACATTTTCTGCAGAGAAAAATCCTAGTTCATTTTGTGGATGCAGTTTTAAATGGAATAATACATATAATATATACAAAATACTTAGAAAGTCTTAAATTACGTATTGTTTAAACATGCCAAAATTTTTTCTTGGAATTCTGTAGAAGATAAAGGATTCCTTAAATTGAGTTGCAATTCACTTTCTTTTTCCTTGTTATTCAAAACTTCTGCAACATTGATTTCCATATCTTCAGCTGTAATGGTTAATTTCTTATTTGTATCGATTACTGTTGTTCCGAGTTGGTTTATAAATTCATTAATCACGTTCAACTCATCCTTTCTGGAAAAAAAGCAATGTGTCAGAATTAATTCCATATTTCAAATAACTATTTCCTCTTACAATACATTTCATTAAAGTCCAAACTCTTGCTAAATAATATGCATTTAATGTCACTTGACCTTACATGTCTGATATTGATTGTTTAATGGAATGTAACGTTTTCTGAATTTCAACCTGAATGTGAGATTCATTAACGTTATCCGACTTCATGTTTATTGCAATCAATGTTTACAGCAACAGGTGCAAAGATGCGTCGCCAGATAAATTGAAAAGCGTCACTGAAAGATTGAATCAATGATTTATCACATGCACTTGCGAGTCTAAAAAAGAAATAATATTACAGTAGAAAAAGAAATGTTACATAGAAAATACAAAATTTACCTTATTTCACGATTGCCCGTATACTTTACGTTATTCAACATAATTATCTTCCCGCTCTCGCCGATTGGTAAACGTTAAGAAAAATAACATTTTCATGTATACCACAATATTTTGTGCTGGAGATCCCAACGTACAAAGTTAAAAAATTACTCTATGTTATTTTATATATATATATATATTTCTGGAAAACGGAAATAGAATGGGTAACTATCCTGTTCAATAACACACCTTATATAAAATATCACGTTATAGTGATGATTCTTAAGATTGGTCGTGAATGACGGTAAAAAAATTATGGACTCCAAGGTGTACCAATTTTCTATTGGTCATTTTAGTATGTCGATTATTCTTAAAATATTGGATTTATTTCATTTTTCGCAATAAATGAAAATCTAGCGATAAACGATTTAAAAAAAATCGTGATCATTTAATTTTAACAAAACGGGATTTCTGGACCTTATACCGGGTTACTTTTAGAAATAACATTCTGCCAATGGGGGCACGTAGAAACTGTTGACTGTCGTATCGCCAATGCATGCAAGTTGACGTCACTTAAAATCGTAACCGCATGAAACAGAACCTTGAAACCGTAAATTATTGTTAAAAAAAGTCATGACACCGAAAACACCGTGCATAGTACAGGTCAAACAGACGAAACGTGTTATGACGATGATGCACGGATCCCCGTAAGCCGGAGAGCCCGCATACGCTCGAGGTTAATCATTCTTTTGTATCACGCACCAAATGCTATCTCAGCTTCGACGTAATTTTGCTCGTGTGCCCGACTTTTTTATCAGCTGATGTATTCGGTGTCATCTCGTAGAATTGTGTGACTTGAACGATCGGCGAAGGGTTTCGAGTAATTCGTTCGACCCACGTATTGTCATGGCAGATTTCGCGTTAAACGAACTCAGTGGTGATCAGACTGAGAAAGTTCTGCAGTTCCAGGTGACTTGACTTATTTTCCTTATTGCATGCTCACTCTTTTGGAGTCACTACAAAATAACAACATTCTGATGGTTTCAGGATTTGACGGGCATCGAAGACCTATCCATCTGTAGAGATGTTTTGCAGAGACATAACTGGAATTTGGAAGTAGCTGTTCAAGTAAATCTCTTTGATCATGTCATTTCTGGCTTCATGCGTCTCTGATTTCTTATTAGACATTTCGTAACAACATTACCATGAACAAAGGATGTTTTCTTACATAAGTCGATTGCAATATAAATATGAATAGCATGCTAGAGATTATCAAATGAATCAATGCATCGTCAAAACATATGAACAATCTTTTATTCAAGCTATTGTTATGAACATTGCTTTCTTCAATTATGAAGAGGCAACTGATCTGATCTCGTGTTCTCATATTTGTTTAGGAACAACTAAATTTATATGAAGGACGGCCTTCAATGTATGCGCAAGATTCACGATCAAGACCACCACAAGTTGTTGATGATAGCAGTTCTAGAATATATTTTCATTATTCTGAAAGTTCTAGTGGCAGTGGTAGTTATTTATCATATATATTTTCCTTCTTTTATGAAAGAGTGATCAGTATACTTCAGTTAGTTCTTTCAATATTTAGGGGAAATGCTAGACCTGGTAAGTTGTAGTTGTACAAAGAACAATTGAAAAAATGTTAGATTCTGTGAAATTAACTGAAATAACAATTACTTTTCAAGTGTCCTCCGATCCAGTGGAAGATGTAATTAATTTTATTCGAGCCTACGAAGAACGTTATGGTAGTAGTCATCCTGTCTTTTATCAAGGCTCGTATAGCCAAGCACTTTCTGATGCGAAACAGGAATTAAGATTTCTACTGGTATACCTTCATAAAGATGAAGCTCAAGATATTGATCAGTGGTGCAGGTAATTGTTAACACAATCTACTATGAATTTTCTCTACAAATAAATAATACTAAGTTTTCATTTGCAGGAACACCTTAAACAATCCAGAAGTAGTACGGTTTATAAATATACGTACTTTGTTTTGGGCATGCAATGTACAATCCGGAGAAGGCTATAAAGTGGCAGAAGCCCTTAGATCTGGTTCTTATCCCTTCTTGGCCATTATTGTTTTAAAAGACAATAGAATGACTATGGTTGGTCGGTAAGTAATATAATTTATACATTTTCAATCTCCAATCGTTTTGGAGAATTTATAATTTTAAAGATTCCATTTTATTCTATCATAGAATGGAAGGCACGCCATTCCCGTCTGACGTTATTTCCCATCTACAAGCAATTATTGATCACAACGAAATTAATTTAATACAAGCTCGTCAAGAAAGGTAAAACAAAATATCTTAATTAAAAAGAAAATGATTTTGCGAGTACTCATTGACTTCTAAATGCAGAGCAGAACGGAGTGCGGCGCAATCGTTACGCCAACAACAAGATCAAGCGTACGAGGAGTCGTTACGCGCGGATCAAGAGAAGGATCGCAGAAGGGAAGAGGAACGAAAAGCGCGCGAAGAACAAGAGGCAAGGGAGAAGGAGCAATTAGATGCACAAGAAATGGAAATTCAACGTATTCGTCTTGAGAAAGAGCTCACTGTTCGCAAAGTGCCAGTGGAACCAAAACCGGGTGATCCTAATGTGTGTCACCTTCAAATTAAACTTGGGGAGAGAACAATAAAAAGGCGTTTTCTAATGTCCCACACAATAATGGTAAATGCTACAGATAATCTCTAGTGTATAACTTTAAGTGCACTATTCAATTGACAGTCGAGTTAATTAATATATATTGACCTTTTGGTATTAAGCTAATTCATTCTCTTCCAGGATGTGTATCACTGGATTTTTAGTCAACCAGATTCACCAGCATGTTTCGAAATTACCACGAGTTTCCCGAAGAGAATTCTATATCCATCCAGAGAGATCTCAACACTGTCAGCTGCTGGACTAACTCATAGGGAAGTTCTCCACGTTAATGACTTAGACGATTAACCTCTATTGATTATCCAGTGCTGCATTCTTTGTGTTTAAGTATCATTCCGCGAAAACAATGATACTGTCGTAAGAGACATTTATTAAAACGATAAATATATATGTCTATATATATGTATGTACATGCATATATACATATATATATTTATTTATACACATATTTACATACACAGACACGCGCGCGCGCGAGAGCGCGCACGGAATACATTCGAGTATTTCATGTGAAGCGTAATTCAACGACAGGAATGCAATTGTGAAACAGGTCCACGAATTGTATCAGAACAAACGAATCAAAAAAAGAAAAGAAAAAAAGAACCGGCGAGTGTTACATACCTGTGTCAACCACTGCATCTCCCGTGAGATGAATAAGACGCTTTCTGGAATAGACACCGAATTAGAGAAAAGAGCTAATTTTGTTGTGAAAACAAAATGAAAGAGAAACATCAATACGACTTCACGGAAGCTGTACACCAAACATTTCTTATACTCATCTTAATATTTTTTAGCTTAAATGAACTTCTGTAATAAACCGACTAAAGGGGTGT